CGTCACACGGAAGGCGAAAAGGTGAAAAGAGAATGTTCGGGGGGGGGGGGGGTGCCCTGTGCATAAGGCTGACAACCTTACCGCCATCTATGAGCCGAATGTCTAGCAAATGTAGGAGCCTAACATCTCACAGCCCTATGGGCCTCAATGGCCTGTTACAGGGATATCTTTATTTTTATAATATATCTTATAGAATACTGGAAATCTGATATTCATCTTTCATTTCAGTAATGCACAAGATTATATGGCAAAATTAATAACATATCTTACAGAATACTGGAAATATGGTATTCATCTTCTACTTCAGTACTGGACAAGAATAAATGGCAAATATAACATAGCTTATGGAATACTGGTAAGCTGATATTCATATTCCATTGGAGTACTGGAGAGGATTATTTGAAAAAATTAATAACATATCTTATAAAATACTGTAAATCTGATATTCTTCATCTTCCACTTCAGTACTGGACAAGATAAAATTGCAGATATAATAACATACCTTACAGAATTTTGATTTGTTTCATCCTGGTCCATCACACTAACAATATAGGGTGTCTACAAAAGGTCTGACATATTTTGATCTTTAATAATTCAGAAAATAACGAAGATAGACATAAACTGGTTAAATTGTTGGATTGAGAAACTCAAAATTTTTGTGTCTATTTTTAATAAAGTTGTACATGTGCTCCATTTGTTGCACATAAAATATCAAGACAATATTCGATTTCTTGCCAGGTTCAGGCAAGCATACCGACATCCACAGTGGGTATTGCGTCTCTTACTCTGGTAAGAGTACGAGAACAGATTTTGCAACAGATATGTTATGAAGTACAGAGGATGATGAAAGATTTATTACAACCATACTGTTCTCTGATGAAGCGTGCTTCCACATTTCTGGAACAGTCAATTGCCATAACGTATGCATTTTGGGATCAGAGAACCCTCATGAACACTGTGAAATGGCAAGAGACTCCACAAAAGTGAATGTGTGGTGTGCTCTTATGCATGATCAAATCAGTGGGCCTTTCTTTTCCGTGGAAAAGGCAGTCAGATCAGTCATTTACTTAGATATGTTGCAGGCTTTTGTATCCCCACAAATTGAAGCGCTTCAGCCCGAAATCACTTTCCAAAAAGACGGTGTGCCACCTCGTTTGAGCACCATAGTTCATGATCATTTGGACAAATATTTTCCAGGAAAATGGATTGGACGAGGTGGTTCAATTACTTGGCCCCCAAGATCACTTGACATAACCCCACTGGACTCTTTCCTTTGGGGATATGTCAAAGGCACTGTTTATAAGACGCAGATGAGAGACATCGATCAATTAAAAACTAGAGTAAGAGATGCAATAACCACTGTGGATGTCAGTATGCTTGCCTGAACCTGGAAAGAAACCAAATATTGTCTTGATAGACAGATAGCAGAATTGGTACAACGAAAGGTTGGGGCAAGAGCAAATAATGCTATACCACTAGAATACAAAGAGGGAACTGTGCATGAAGAGGCTATGTCAGGAAAACACAAGGAGGAAACTGTCCATGAGGAGACTGCAGAAAGCCAAGGGAATGAAGCTGATGAAACATTAGTTGACCCATCCCCCAGCAGTGTGGCACCACTGGAAGGAAAGAAACATCAGGAAATTCGGATGTCAACTAGGAAAAGGAAGCTCCCAGAAAAGCTAAGTAAAGATTTTTTATAGATAAGAATAGTACTGACCCTCTCAAGAATACCAATAAAATAGGTTCAACCATCCAATTATTACATCAAAATGTTCAAAGTCTAAACAACAACAAGCTGAATATAGATGTGCTATTATCAAACAAAATGTTAGACTTCGATATACTCTGTATCACTGAACATTTGTTGGATGAAAGAGAAATAGATTATTATAACTTTGAAAACTATTCCTTGATATCAAAATTCTGTAGGAAAAGTAAATTGCATGGAGGTTCATGCATTTATGTTAAAACAAATCTAGATGCAAATCCCTGTACCCTGTTTGAAAGCTCAAATCAAGAAGAACACTTTGAGGCCAGCATAATTGAACTTATACAATTTAATACTATCATAATCTATATATATAGAACCCCTAATAGCAATATCAACATATTTATAAAAAACATGGACACAATACTTAGCAATCTGACCAATAAAGGAAAGAACATTATTATAGCAGGAGATCTCAATGTAGATTTTCTAAAAAGAAGTGTAAATCCACAACTACAGACAATGCTAGACTCATATGGCTTGCAAGCAATAGCTGATGTCCCAACAAGAACAGGACCTAAAAGTCAAACAGCCATAGACCAAATAATACTAAACAAGGGCTTATGGGAATACAATTTTAAAGCGGCAGAAACAGGGCTCTCAGACCATAATGCCCAAATACTACAAGTACAAATGCATTATAAGAACAAAAAAAGGACAAGGTAGAATAACTAAAGAGTTCAGATTAGCTACATTTTATAGCGACGAAAACGTATAATAACTAAACTATTTACTAGGAAGAGAGACCTGGGAGCCTGTTCTTAAACAAAATGAGGCAAATGATGCATACAATGAATTTTTAGGCATCTTTGAGTACTATCAAAATAGAGTCATGCCTAAAAATGGGAAAAAATTAAGCAGCAAAAAATAAATGGATTACATTAGGCATAAGGGTATCAAGAAACAGACTTAGGACTGTTCATAGCTTAATGAAGGAAGGAACCCCATCTAAAGGGCATAAGAAATACTATAACCAGTACAAAAAATATACAACAAAGTTATCAGTCAGGCTAAAAAATTATGCAACATGCGAAAATGATCATCTGGGAACAAATCAAAAGCCATGTGGGATTTAATCAAAGAAGAATTAGGCAATCAGCAAAAAGTTCCAAAGAACATTGAATTAAGAGAGAATGGAACAACTAGACAGGATCCAAAAGTTATAATGTTGTTAATGAATATTATGCTAACATTGCCCAGCACATACAGAGTAACAATCCGACAGCACAAAACAATGAAGACAATATAAACACAATAAAATACAACAGCAATAGCACGTTCTTAACCCCAACCACTAAAAAGGAAGTGGTAGATATAATTAAAACACTAAGTAACAAAAAATCAACGGCCATTGACGATATTCCAGAGTTCATTATTAAAAAATGTCATCCTCAAATAGTAAATGCTCTAACATACATAATAAATCTGTCATTTGAATCTGGTTATTTCCCCGAACAACTATAAATAGCAAACGTGAAACCCCGGTATAAGAAAGGTTGTACTGTAGATGTTGGGAACTACAGGCCAATGTCATTCATTTCGGTTTTTTCTAAAATAATCGAAAAAATTATGCACAATAGACTTTTATCATTCATAATTAAGTACAGCATAATCAACAACTAACAACGTGGATTCTGCAAAGGAAAATCAACACACATAGCAATCACAGAATTTACAAAAAGGGTTTACAAAGTTCTTAAAGAAAAAGAAACGAGTATGGGGATATCTTTGGATTTATCAAAAGCGTTCGACCTAGTAGATCATGATATATTGCTATGTAAGGAGGAAAGAATGGGAGTATGAGGGGTTACACTAAGGCGATTCCAAACATACTTAGAAAACAGAGAACAAGAGGTAGAAATTACATACAGATGCGTAAAACTAATGGAAACATTAATCACCTATTCCGAGAGACCCATGGGCTATGGAGCCACCAAGGTTCCGTTATGGGACCAGTGTTGTTTCAGTTATACATAAAAGACCTGGGAGCCGGCATAGAACATGGGAAACCTACGCTCTTTGCCGATGATACTAGCATTTTCATAGCAGGAAATAGTGCTAACGAAATTCAAAGGAAAACA